TTAAAATTTTAAAATCAATTTAACATTAAACTAAAACACTCGTTCATTCTATTAAAATTTTAAAAATCAATTTAATATGAATATTTAAATATTGATATTAATGTGATTTGGCTAGTAAATAAGAATGAAAGAAAGTGCATAGTACGTAGTATTTGGCTATTGCTATTCCTACAGTCAACATTGATATTAATGTGATTAGTTATCCAATTATGTACTAACACGTGACATAAACATTTTAACATTCACATTTATACACTAGCGATGCTCTAAACAAGTCATGTTTACAAAAGTATTAAAATGTCAAACAAATTTAAAGTAATTTATTTTGTCATTTTTTCTTTGAGATTTTAAAATACAGTTTTCTTTCTCTCGTTCTCTCTCTCTCTCTCTTTCTCTCTCTGTTTTTACAATTGGCTATTTGAAAATCTAAAAAAACTTTGGTTTAGTGTTTTTATATTTAGTGTTGTAGTGTTTTAGTTCTAGCGTTGCTAGCGCGACCTCTAGGCGATCTCTGGATATGCCTCTCAGTTTTGAGCTCTAAATTGTATCATTCAGCTTTGGGTTACTTTCTGTTTCGCACATTTTTGCGATTTATAATATCTTTATCATTTCGAAAAAAAAAATCTAAAAAAACTTTGGAATTGACTTGTTAAAGACTTGGTCTCAATATATATCCTCACTGTGCAAGATAATTCTCCTCAAACTAGCATAATAGTTGAGAAGAGAAAAGAATGGATTCACAAGGTGAAGTTATCTCCATCACTAAAGCCTAGCATAATAGTTGAGAAGAGAAAAGAATGGATTCACAAGGTGAAGTTATCTCCATCACTAAAGCCTCTGATGACGATAATCTCCTCGACTCCGGTGGCTACCACCACCACCACCACCACCACCATCGCCGCCAGTATTATTTTCCGGTCACAACCGTTAAAATCATAATTCTATTTGTGGCCGTGGGGTTAATTTACCTTGTTCTCAATCAATCATCTTACCCTCCAACACAGTTTTTTCAAAGGTCTTCTTCATTTTCACTGTCTTCGAGGCCTAATGAATCTGTTACAACATCAACCTTATCTTCTTCCACCATGCAAGAGAATGTTAGGTCCCAAAACCTACCTTATAAGGTGAGTTGAATTATCTAAGTAAATGATTTTTTATTTTTTTTTTGGATAAAGTTTATGAACTTTTTTGTT